AGCTGTAAATCTTTACAGTAGTAGAAAGCCTTGTCTTTCTCTCACAGAACAACTGGTGAGTTCAAATTTCTGACTTGCTGGTGGGCAGCCAAACTCATACATAACCACTTTAACACCTAATTTTATTGAATGCAATCCTGCTCTGAAACACATGCAGTCACCATGAGTTAGAATCAACTCGGCAATTGGCTTCAGACATTTTTGGTTGTCAAGAATGAGAGAAAGTCTTGGCATCACCAATCCATAGAAAAGCATATCATATATCTGGCGATGTAAAAGGTCACCGGAAACAAAGGAAATCTTGAATGAGATGGACTCACACAATAGCTGCCAATAATGGATTCAAATACACAACAATCATGAAAAGAGTGCAGGACTAGGTAGCATTTTGCTCTGTTATACATGAGATCACTGTGAATCAGAGCCTATTTAACAGCAATTAACAAGTAGCATCTAATGGAAGAGATACTGCCTGGCAACCTACACTGCACAGCCCTGACACTACAAAGAATTTTCCAGCTCAAACCATCAGCAGTAATGAAGTAGAAAATCCCTGATTCTTAGCAGGTTATAGTCATATTTATTCTTCTGATTACCAGTCTCTTATCTAGCAATTACTTTTTAGCTAAATATATAGATAATTCTTGCTACTAACATTATAAAGTAGGTTTAATGCTTCAGAATGAAAGCCTCTAAGGGAAAAACATTCTGTATATATTTTGTATTGTGTAAGTTTAACTTTGTTATAATTCCATTATTTACAAAATAGCTAACAAGATATTAGTTCTGCATATTCCTTATCTGTTTCCTAGTACTAGCATCTTACATTAGACATCATCATAGTACTTTTGTCAAAGCTAAGGAATCAACATTGGCATGTTACTATTAACTAAACTACACACTTTAGTTGAATTTTACCTATTTTTACATTTTTTTCCTGTTCTAATATCCAGTGCAGGATACCTTACATTGTTTTTGTCATCTCATCTTAGTCTCTGCCAGGTTTTTCACTCTTTCCTTGTTTTTCATGACCTTGACATTTCTGAAGATTGCTAGGGAGGCATTTTGTAGAATAGCCTGATAGTGTTTACATAATTAAGCTGCAGATATGAGCGCTTTGACAAATCATAGTATATTTTATCTGTAGCACTGGTAGCATAGTGGGTTACATTAGCAGTGCGAAACCATCAGCCACTCTGTGGGAGAAAGATGAAGCTTTCTACTCCTGCAAAGATTCACAGCCTCTGAAGCCAACAAGGGCAGGTTTGCCTTGAGGTGGAATCAACTTGCTGGCAATAAGTTCTTATGACTTTATTGTATTTTATCAAGTCCTAACATGTATTACGGTCCTATAGCACAGTTATTACATATTTTGTTAGAATAGATAGCTTCTAGGTTTCCCACTGAGCCAATTCTAGGCTGACAGAAGAGTAGCAAAGATTTAAATTTGAAAAATAATCATACTAACGCCCAAACTAAATTTCCACTGTCATCAATTCCAGGTGCAAATTCTGACTCAAGCTAATTAATCTCAAAAGCAAGCGTGAGAACAAAGATATTTAATCACAGATAAAAAAGATAAATTAAACATCAGTACCTCAGTAGTGTTTAGTATGTCTTCCATTGATCCACCTAACTAAAAATGTACAACAAATAAACCAATATTGCCATTACATGCTTCAGATTCCACTCACCCGAGATTTCTAATTCAGCCCAGTGAGATTTTTTCCCATTGGCTACCTCCTCTGCTGACATGATGGTATAAATTCGACGAGGATCTGGAGGATCATATTTTTCCTTTGGCATCCCTATTAGTCTGTTTAAAAAAAAAAGATATTAATAAATAATTGCAGTCTTACAGAAAAAAGAAACTAGAAAAGTGGATGGTAAACTGTTTTTTAATCTCCCCTTGCCAGCTTAGTAAATCACTTTATACCACGAATTCCTACTCGAGGCCAAACTACACGAGCTGCAGAATAAGAAGTTCTTGCAAGAACCTATAATAAATACCCTAAGGGAAATGACACTTAAGCAATGATATAGGACTCTGCAGTAAATCTATTCCAAACCTTCCCCTTCATTTAGCTGCCTTGCTTTCATAACCAGTTTCCAGAGTGACTATGACTAGTCTAAGAATCAGGGTAACCCTAATCTGCTTGCTTCAGAATGTTCAGTTATCCTAAGCTTAAGACACTAATGCAAGGCATTCCTTTTGCCACACAGATAACAATCACAAAGTTTAAGATTCATTTTATGTTTATGGGAGGGACAAGTTAAAAAGAATATAACCAGATGGCTTTTGGCAGCAATCTACCACCAACTATGAAGGAAACCAGACATAGAAGGGTGAGTCTAGAAAACAAGAACAAAGCCAGAATCCACATTGAACCACACCTGTTCCACTTCCAAGCACAAAGCTTTTCAGATTCGCCAGCCAATATATTTCTTTTATTATGTAAGCTAGTTTGAGGTGTTTTCTGTTATTTGCAATCAAAAGCGTCCAAGTTAGAGTGACCATATATTAGTAAACTAATAGGATTAGTTTACTGGGCTGTTTTCGTTTATACCCATTGTTCTGATGTACTTATTATTATCTCTCCTTTTCATGCTCAGAGTGATTATTCCATTTGGATGATGAATTACATGATCACCCTAATCAAAACCAATACTATGCCTTTGTCTTCATGTAATTGCCAAAATAATCAACCCTCATCAGTAATGACACATGACACAAAAAACTCAAAATGTGTTGTGTATGATGTAGATGTTAACTGGCTCTGAATATAAACGGTTCAAGGACCCAATGTAAGAATTTAAAAATAAATAGCTGCCATTGATTCTGACTCAAAGCAATCCAAGGTGTTAAAGTAGAGCTGTGTTCTACAGTTTTCAACAAATGATTTTTCAGTAGATTGGTAAATCTTTCTTCCAAATTATCTCCAGGTCCACTCAAACCATTAGCATTTTTATGAACCACACATGCTAAAATTATATGCACCACCTATCCCGTGAAAATTGAGTGGATTCCATGCCAACTTATAGTGAAACTATACAGCAGGGGAGACTGTCCCTGTGAGTTTCCAAGATGAATAGTATTGGGTATATTTTAATTTTATTTAATTTATTTTATTTTATTTATTTTTTTATAATTTATAATTAATTTATTTAATTTATACATCATTCACTGAAATTATTGTTATATTTCAGTGCATAACATGTAATAAAACATTTTTAAAATATACCCAAATATACTATTCCTAAGAAATCTCAAACCCTGGGTTTTATATTTGGGGCTAGGAAGATCGAGTAAACATAACTCTTCCCCCACTTCACTCAAAAAAAACCCTGAGACTCATCAAAGCAAGCTAAACTGCATAAAAGTTGAGTGAATTATGAGTCAAAGAACCTATAGGACAGTGTAGAACTGTTGCTTAGGGTTTGGCAGACTATATTTACAGGAGTAGCCTCTATCACATAGGTAAAGATATAAGTCCCGCTACACTACATCCAACTTTCACCTCATCACTTAACTAAGATTGAGATTAATCTATTTCCAAAAAAAATTAATCTATTTCTGTCTGGTTTGGCACAATTAATGTAATGCTACATCATTTGTGATTCAGACTAAGAATGTGGCTCTAGCTGAAAACAGAATGCTACAACTAGAGTGCTTGAAAATAAAAAATCACTTTCTAATTCAGTGAATCTAATCCTTAAACTACAAATCATTAGATATGTACTTCTCTCCATAAAAACATTATGTGATCATCTCACAATAGTTTGCATAAGTAACACTAGGTGTAGATACAGATGCTGGCAGAGTTCCCAGAATTTGAGAATCTAAAATTAACCTGCATTAGTTATTTATGCTTATATTTTAGAGTCAAGATGTCAATGACTTGCTGGATTTTATATATCCAGAAATAAGTCTATCTCATATTGCCTCATTCCTAAAGGATACAGAAACATAATTATTCCAAGTGACTATCCACTTTGATAAACATGCCTCCTTCCCACCTGGCTTTTACCCTATTAAGATTCCATTCTGGAAAACGTGTCTAAATATACTTTAACAAAGCAAAATAACCTTTACATAGTATCATTCTTGAAGTTTTTCTTTCCTCACTGATATCTATTTTAGTAATATGCAACTATTAATCATTATAATTATCCTTTAAAATAGCTGAGTTCTTTTAATAAATCATTTTATTGGGGGCTCTTATAGCTCTTATAACAATCTATACATCAATTGTACCAAGCACATTTGTACATATATTGCCATCATCATTTTCAAAATATTTTCTTTCTACTTGAACCGTTATCAGTTCCTCGTTTTTCCCTTCCTCCTCCACCCTCATGTACCTGTTTGAAAGACAAACACCCAGCAGATCACACTGTATATAGTAGAGTCAATTTGGTAAAAATAAAGATGGATGGCAATCACAAAAATTCAGAATATAATTCCAGGATAAAAGAAGAGTAGCAATTCTATTCCACATCCATACCAAGGGCCTCTGGATGGTATTTGTCTTTAAGAATAATTCATCCAAAGTCTGTAGAAAATAAATCTGGATCCATTTGAAGTTTACATGTTTTCCTAGCTCTATTACACACTCAAAATTAACAAAATCTATGACTGATGATAATGAAGTTGCATACCATAGTGAAAATGCACCTGTAGATTTGGCATTGCAAATTTTTGACCTGTGTAACATTCATTAAACAAATATTTATTGCCTACCTACCACTGTCACTTATTGTACTGTGCCCTAGGAATTCAATAAACAAGATGGGTATGGTCCTTGTCTTCAAGGATCTTACACTATATATTCATCAAGGCACTACTCAAAAAATAGTTATAAAATATTTTGCCATCAAATAATTGTATAAGAAATTTGGCATTTCTTCACATTCTTTTGTTCCCTCTCATCAAGTATTTGCATGACTCCCTGTTGTCACTATTCAGAAATGAGTAAAAAACTTTTGAGACAAGAATATCAAATTATCAATGGCCTAATAATGGGTAAATTGGACTGAAAACAATCAAATTAAACCCCTATCAGTACATTTAACTTAGAAACTGGTTTCCTAACCCAGTGATCATATTCTTTTAGCTATTATTTGTAGGATCCTTACCAACAAACCAAAGGACTCTTTTGGTGTTTAGAAATACCTAGACACAATGTCTTAATTCTAGTTAGTTTATTCTTAGGAGCTACTTCAAATCTCAAGACAAACTTGTTACCTACCGAAGAAAAACACACACATAAGTGGCAAAAAAGCTCTTGGGTAAGGATGAGAAGAGTATAATGACTGTTAGATTTCTTTTCAAAGATACTGATTATATGCTAATCCAAAAATAACTACAGAAGTTTCTGACTCTGGAATGGGGTTAAGAGCAGAGTCTAATTAGCAGTCAACGTGCTGTAAGGGAAGAATAAAAAAGAAAAAAGATTTCAAATAAGTTTCAATCTGTGCATGTTAAGACATTTCTCTGGAACTTAAATAATCAGAGATCAGCATGAGCACCATAAGAACTAGATGGTGCCTGGCTACCACTGCCAAGCTCTCTGCAAGGGATCACAATAGAAGTTTCCTACAGAGGGAAGCAGAAAAATGCAGAATAAAACTCAAAATACTGAAAAAGGCCAGGCTTACTGTTCTGACATAGATAGGTGAGGCCCCTAAAATTACGGTCCTTAGCCACTCTTCAAATGCCTGAAACTGAACTCAGTTCTCTAACTCAACATTCAGCTAGATAACAGACAGGCCCATAAAGTGTAGAGGAACACAAGGGAAGTATGTATTCCTCAGAACTACCAACCATAAAAAGGCAGTATTTGTCAAAGAAGGAACCATGGAGCTGGGACGTACTATAGGTTAGGCAATGGACAACTACCCACAAAGTCAGCACTTCAAACCTTCCAACTACTCCAAGGAGGAAAGGTGATGCTGTCTCCTTCCTCAAAGATTTACACACCCAGAAACCCTATATAGGGTCACATTGAGTTGGAAAATAACTTGATGACAGTGGATTTGGTTTTAGCTTAAAGTTCAAAAGGGCAGGAAGGGGTAAAAAATAAGGATGAAGGGAAATGGTAAACCAGGGAGGAAATGAGAAGCATGCCATTATATAGTAGGTATTGCAATCAATGCCATTAAAGAAAATGTGTATGAATTATTGAACAGAAATCAATTTGCTCTGTAAACCTTCCTCAAATTACAATTTAAAAAATGTGTTAAGTGAGAATGGAAAGGAATAATGAGTAAAGAAAAGCAAGCAGTCGCAGCAAAACAAAACTAATAAAGGAAAAAGTAGAAACTAGGAATTTGAATCTACAAATTATTGTAAAATTTAAAACAATACTACTTTTATATATTTTTAAATTTTCATTAACAATTTGGACAACCAAAGCGAATGATTTGTCTATACAAGCGAAAGAGTAATCAACGGCACTGAATTAACATGTAGAAGTTGTTGAACTGGAAACTTTTGTTGTGCATATTTTTGCCACAATTAAAACAAAATTACATGAATAACAATGAGCACAAGGAAGAAGAAAATGTTCTAGAATTGATTGTGTTGATGATTTTACAACTCTTTTTCATATGACTGTGTTGAATTGTATGACATGTGGATGAAGTGCCAATAAAACTGTTTTTAAAAAAAGACTGAATGTGTATAAGTTATACAGTAATATGCCATTGTATATACAGAGCTTAAACAAACAAAACACCACTCACTGCCATTGAGTCGATTCTAACTCAGAGCACCTCCTGTGGATTTCTGAGGCTGTAAATCTTTCTAGGAG